TGAGGGACAATCAGTTTGCGTAGCTCTCTGATAGCCCCCTCGTGAAAAAAAAGAGACAAAAAGTCGACATGACATTCCCCGAACTGCCAACAATATCTCCCGAAAACCCCAAGTACATTGTAATCGCACCCAAAAACAACGAGAAAAAAATCTCAGATTTCTCCTGTATTGCCGTTTACAACGCATTACGTCTAATATCCAAAAACATCACCTCCATCACCAGCTTGCGTGATGGCAACTGCTAGTTAAAAATCAAAGCGAGGCCGACAAATTCATCAACTCACCTTCGTTACCGGGCATTTGCGACATCACATGCAACATGCATGCAACTCTTAGCCAACAATATACGCTCCATATCTCTCCGATATCCCCAACGATGAAATCATAGAATAGCTGCGATCTCAAAGAGTCAGTGGTATCTTCAAATTCACCAAAATCACGGACACAGGCAGTAAACCCTCTGGAGTAATTCTGCTCACTTTTGATCTATACCACCTTCCCAGCAAAATTGATATTGCAAGGCATGCGGTTAAGGTACGGGAGTACATACCAAACCCAATGAGGTGCAAATCTTGCCAGCTGCTAGGCCATACAGCCAAACACTGCAAAAACGAACCACGTTGTGTGAATTGCGCTTTACCTCCCCATTCGCATGACACCTGCACACAATCGAAATGCGTTAACTGCTCGGAAGAACACCCATCCTCCTCTCGCCAATGTCCCAAATATCAGCAGCAAAGAGAAATACTGAAAATCAAGACTACAAAAAAATGCACAATGCGCGAAGCGAAACTACTGTTCAATGGAACAACAACTAAGCAATCCAGCCCTTCTTCCTACGCTGCAGTAGCGAATGCGGGACACTATAGTTACTCAAAAACATCCGAATAAAACAAAAACAAAAACAACAACACTAGTCCAAATTACAACAAACCAACCAAAGATAACACAATGCCTGATGCTAATAAAGAAACAACAACAAGAACACCACTGAACACCTCCTCCACGCCGCTGCCTTGTCAGCAAAATCAACAGAAAAACAACACAAACGGAACATTCGATGATGACTACGAGAGTCTTGGCCTCTCGCCTAAAACTACTCAATTCCTAAAACAACTTAAATCCAACAAAAATAAAAATATTTCTAATTCAAACCTCCCAACTATTTCTATCAATTTGAAACAAAATGAATATATCAACATATCAGATGATCCTATGGATGATTCTGATACATAAACTGAACTTAACTTTTTCCATTGCATATAATATCCACTTTATCTCTTCCAATGACCCTTAAGATTCTACAATGAAACATAAACGGATACTTCAACTATTACATTGAACTTTCATTATTAATTAAACAAGCCAATCCGGATATTATATGCCTATAAGAGACTAATCTTAAATTTAATAATTCTCGAGTTGCAACCCCCAAACAATTTATTGGTTATTTTTTCAACAATTCTTCCATTCTCCATGCGAAACATGGCGTTGGTATACTTATACGACAAAACATCCCACACAAAACTATCAATTTAATCTCACCCACTTGCTCAATGGGCATTGAGCTTATATCCCAACCGAATATAATAATATTTAATTCTTATATACCCCCAACCAAAGACTATTAGCTACCGATTTAATAAATATTATTGTAGGGGACTTTAACGCTTGGAGTCCGCTTTGTGGGTCCTGCTCCCGGAACCCCAAAGGCTATCAAGTTGAAGATCTTATAGTCAAAACAAATTTAGCTATTCTAAATGACGGCTCTGCCACCCACCATTCTACCCACAACTTCTTTACTAACATCGACCTAAGTATGGCGTCCGCAACCCTGGTACCATTCTGGTCCATTGGCCAAAATTTACACGGGAGCGATCATTTCCCTATTACTATTAACTTTCGCACACATATTAAACCTGAAAAATTCCGCGTTTAATTAGGTTCAAAACCGACTATGCCAACTGGAGTACCTTCCAATCTGTCTGTAAAAATCACTTTCAGTTTCCCTCGACCAACGATCTGAACCTCTTCGCTGCAACAATTACGAAAACCATAAAAACAGCAGCCAACGTAGCCATTCCACAAACTAATCCCAAAAAACAGATAAGGTACCCTGCTTGGTCCATCCCAAGTCTCCAAGAACTGAGAAAACAAAAGCAAGTTCTCCGGCACATCTATAAATCCTCTCAAAACTGTACCAATCTAGTAGCTTACAAAAAAGCGAGAGCCCTGTTTAAAAGACAAGCTATTAGGGCAAAACGAGAATCTTTTAGCAGTTTCACCTCTAAAATAAACCCACTTTCCACAACCAAAAAAATATGGGCCGATATCAACAAATTAGTAGGGATTTTCCCAGGGCCATCAGAAACAACAATGTAAAGCTCCAAAATTCAGTAGACATTGGCAATGCATTTGGAGCTATGTGGTCCAATTATTCCAGGGATGAAAACTTCTCAAATGCGTATAAAGTTAATAAGGAAAACGTTCTCTCTCAGGCATATCTGCCCAACCACATATCCTCAAATTCGAAGTACCTTGAATCTCAGTTCACACTGATGGAACTAGAATTAGCTCTTCAACACGCTAAAGGGAAAACTCCTGGGCATGACCGCATCTCGTACAATATGCTTCGAAACCTACCAATAGAAGGAAAGAAAAGAATACTAGAAATGTACAACATAATGTCAGATGGGGGTAACTATCCGCACGCTTGGAAAACGGCTACAATTATCCCAATCCTTAAACCAAACAAACCTTCCCACGAATTATCATCCTTTCGTCCCATATCCCTACTCTCCTGCTTGAGCAAAACACTAGAAAAAATTCTTGCCAAAAGGAAATAAATAAATAAATAATAAATAAATAACATAACAATAGAATATAAATCTACTATTAAACTTCTTGGCCTTATGCTCGACAGAAGACTCACGGTTAAGGAACACTTTGTTAATCTTAGAGGTAGTCTTAACAAACGCCTTAATATCATTAAGTTCCTTGGGTCCAAGCGTTTCCTTGTCCATCCAACATCACTAATTCATGCCACAAGAGCCTTAATACTGGCCAAAATCGACTATGGGTTGGCAATCTATAAATGGTGCGCGCCATCCAACATCAAATTGTTCTCCCCCGCATACCATGCTGCAGTACGGCGTAGCATTGACGCCTTTCCCACTACTCCTACGAAATACCTTTTAGCTGAAGCGGGTCTTCCTGAAATACAGACGAGAACTACGCAACTGACTTTCAAACTCACCCCTAAAATTCTTTGCTCGACCAACCCAATTCTGTTTAAAGACTTTAACAGAACGGTTAAGCAGCGCCGAAGATTTAAAGTCTTGTCTACTATCCGTAGATGTTGCAGTTTTTTCAAAAAACATCAATTGGATATGCCATATCGTTGAAACAAAATTAGCCCATCCCCTCCTTTGCAACTACAGGACCACACCGTGAACACCTCTCTCCACTTATTAAAAAAATCAGAAACACCAAAAGTATATTTCAGCAAATGCTAGCTGCCGAATCGGAAAAATTCCCCAACTGGAGTTGGCTCTACAGTGACGGATTGAAAACAATTGACTCTACTAGCTTCGCAGTTGTAAGCCAATCAGGAACTGTGGTAGCATCAGGAGTGCTCCCTGCATACTTTTCTATATATTCCGCCGAAGCTGTAGCTGTTCTAAAAGCAATTAAACATGCTCTCGAGCTTAAGGGAAAATTTATAATATGCAGCGACAGTCTTACTACTCTCAATGCCATTAACAACACATACAACCAAAACAGCCTGATATGCGAAATTCGACATCTTTGCATCAAATACGATACCAAAATAAAACTCCTTTGGGCGCCAGGTCACATGGGCATAAAAGGTAACGAACTGGCAGATGCAGCGGCTAAACTGGCTGGACAGTCTCCTTGCCTAACAGTCATCCCTGGTGTCAGAGAAGACTTATGGCGCAACATTGAGGATATCCTAAAAAGGGACGAAATGACACAATTGGCCACTTACGTCCATAGATTTAAGAAATTTAATCCGAACAAGGAACCCGTCCGATATCCAGCTTCATGGCACAGAAGACATTGCAGTGTCATCACCCGGCTCAGAAGTCGGGACACAGCCTTAACCCACGACTACCTGCTTAAAGGAAAAGCCATTCCCAACTGCCCAAAATGCGGGGGAGAATTATCAATTCAACACATATTGAATATCTGCCCACAACTTAATAACATTAGGAATTGTCTATTTGGCCAAATCCAACCTACCTCTCTTCTTACCACACCCTACTCACAATAATGTAAAATTGCTTATCAAATTCTTAGACACCAATAATAACTAAATAATAATATATATATAATTTAATATAATATACATATAATACTATAAATAAATTAACTGTCGAGTCGATGGCCTTAGTAGCTAGTACTATTATATTATTTTTTTTGTATAATAAATAATTACGTAAAATAAATAAATAAATACTTTTTTTACCCTGAACCCATTAAAAATGGGTATAAGGGTATATTGTATTTGTGCGAAAACCAAATGTATGTAACAGGCAGAAAGAAGCTTCTCCGACCCCATAAAGTATATATATTCTTGATCAGCATCAATAGCCGAGTCGATCTAGCCATGTCCGTCTGTCCGTCCGTCCGTATGAATGAACGCAAGGATCTCAGAACCTATAAGAGCTAGAGACTTGAAATGATGTAGGTGCTCCTAGTGCCTGCGCAGATCGAGTTTGTTTCCGATAATCGATAACATACTTCGTTTCCAAGCAATCGATAAAAATCGATATCGATATCCTGTTTTTTGGGACATTTTGGTAAATAATAAAAGCTAGAATCACCAAACTTGACAAATAGCTTCTAAAATAGAATAAATATATGCATTTAATGTTGGAAGAAGAGGGTTCAGGGTATCCCCTAGTCGGGAGCTTCCGACTAGAACCCTTGTTCTTGTTTTATTCTAAGTACTAATAACATTTTATTAAATCTTTTAGGAAATCAAAGCAAATATTACATCAGCTGTGCCTAGATTTACAGTTTCTGGCCTCGTTCCTGGCAATGTATATGTGTTATCAATTTCCGCATATAATTCTAAAGGTCGATCTGATCCAACAATAGTTAATGCTGCAATGCTAAGAATGCCTGAAAAACAACTAACATTTGAACAAAGTAAGTGAAACCAAAAACCGCAAACTTCAATTTTATTTTCTTCGGTGTGCCGAAGATTAAATACGGTTGAATACATATAGCAGACTTGCACTATACTTTAGTGTCTTCAAGGAAAAACATATTATTTTATAGAACTTAAGTCCCGATAAAACATTACGACCAACCTACCAAAGCCGCTGGTAGTATTAATTACGACATAAAATCTCAAAGCAAAAATTATTAGTAGTGTGCAATACAAATTTTATTATGTTTCTTTACATACAGTTTGTAGTCGATCCGGTCGGGCTCAGTTTTATGAATATAATTATTTATTATATTAAGTTCTTATTCTAGCAGTTATATGCATTAAGAGTGGAATCGAATTCCGGGGATTTCATGTATGTAAGTGCAAGAGATTTCTAACTTTAAAATTAAAACAATATAACAAAACTTTATTATTTTAGAATATAAATTAGTCAGGAAAAGGAGAGAAAGAAATGTATGAAAAAAAATAGGAAATTTGAAATAAGCTTTAATGTTAAGTTGCTAGAGTTCCTAAAGCAATGATTATAAAAGGATAAGAGAGCGTTCTGTGGAGAATACGTGGTACAGCTTTTTATAATCATTGCATAATACACTAAATGAGTAATGCAATGAATAAAGAACGGTAATTTATTGTGGGTCTGGAGGGAGCAGAGAATTAAATACGCCCTAACAGAAAAGAAGAAGTTATGTTACCAATAATTACCTTGTGTAGGAAGATAGATGGCTAATGGAATTCAGTGGTAACCGAGCTTAAGCCTCGTTAGGCAAAAAGTAGAATTTTGCTTTGTACAGAAGTTTGGTTACGAAGGGATATTTTTGTCTTTATTTAGACACGTCTATCACTCTTCATAATGAGTTCTATGTAGCTTTATATTTTCAACTATTTCGGATATTCAATGTACTTGCTTATGTGTCATGTTTCTATTAAATATTTATTTTGCTGGCTCGGGGTCCAGTGTTTAATTTATTAAAATCAAGAAAATTAAGCAACTTTGTTTTAACATATTTCTTCCGATATCTTTCGGCTGCACCTCGGCAATCGTGTTCAGGCCACTATCACAAAAACAAAAGACAATTTACATTAAAATAAATGAAATCAATTACAATTATCTTAATATTTTCAAACACAACATACATTGTTTAACATGTCTGCGCTTTTTGACGTGGAGGTTGAAACTATTCAATAGATGTCTATACCAGTGAGCACAGTTTTCGGTGTCCGTTTTGTAGCTTAGTCGTTTGTTGATTGATGTGCTTATTATGAGTATGTGATTTAATGTTAATTATTTTTTGTTTTTTTGGTGCAGTTGAAATATCATATATCGAAATATAATATATACCAAGGACCTTAATCCCGCAAACTAAGTATTTAACAAGTAAGAGGTTCAAGTCGGGAGCTCCCGACTAGGGAATACCCTGAACCCTCTTATTCCAACACCAAACGCAGTTCGCGCAACGCGATCTTCGAAAGTAATAATTATTAATTAAAGAACAAGTTCCCTTGGCAGGGGTCGAGCTCGCAACTGACCGCATTGTATGCTGACGACTCTACTCAACAGCCACACCAGCCAAAAAAAAAAAAGTTTCCCTGGTAGGGCTCGAACAGACCGCACCACTAGCTATGCCTCCCCTCAACAGCCACACCAATAATTAAGAATTATTGAGAAAAAAAAAAAAACGAATTAAAATAGCAGCACAGAAAATAATCGAAATTGAAATGCTGTTGGTATATGTAATTCGAAGTAGACGCGCATGAATGTGTGTGTGTGTAAATGTATAAAGAAACTCTTGGATTTTGCTCCCCATCCAATTGCGCAGTAAAACATAACTTTGGATTTACCTTAACCGAACTTAATGAAATTTTCTACAGCATACCTTATTGTACCATAGAATATTTGTGTATAATCAAAAAGGCAGTTGCATTTAAACTGTGGCTTAAATTGGTGGGCAACAAAAGTTGGGTTATTAACTTGATTTATAGCTCTGCGGTGGTAGCGGGGACTTGGCAATAGGTATAAAATGAAAGATACTTGATATATATATATATATATAATATTCTAGAAGCAACATATCATGTTTGGTGACTCTAGCTCTTATTATTTACCCAATTTGCTCAAAAAATTATCGGAAACGAACTCGATCTGCGCAGGCACTAGGAGGACCTACAGCTAATTTCAAGTCTCTAGCTCTTATAGGTTCTGAGATCCTTGCGTTCATACATACGGGCAGACGGACGGACGGACGGACAGCCCCATGGACAGCCAGACGGACATGGCTAGATCGACTCGACTACTGATGCTTATCAAGAATATATGGGAATATGAGGTCGGAGATGCTTCCTTCTGCCCGTTACATATATTTGCACAAATACATTATTCCCTTTTTACCCATTTTCAATGGGTTCAGGGTTTAAAAAAATGTATTTCCTATGCCTGATGTATAGTTATTAAATTTTATTACAAATTATCCCTTAATAAGTTTAAGTTCATTATCTATAGAAGTGTTACGCTTAGTATCGTTAAGAGAATAATGCCTACGTCTATTGATTCTATTTTCTTTATATGGTCATTGTTGAGAAACTGATGTTATTTAGCAACTGTTTAGAAATTTTGTCAAGAAATTGTAAATTTTGTCTGTTCACAACAACACTTTATAAATCTGTTTATTTATCGAATGTATATGAATGACAAAGTTATTTGGCTGTGGCTCAGAAATAGTTCTTCGCTTCGCCTTGATCAATAACAAACAAGTGACCAAGATAAAAGGGAAAATGCAAATTATAGAAGCTGCGACAAGTGCAAGCGAGGCTTGCCAACCTTGTTTATAGTAAACAGCTGTTTCACTACAGTAAGATTACGACCTCTTCTTATGTTTACATGAAGCGTTGCTTATGCTGATTTGATGCGGCTGCTGCAGAATCCAACAAATTCCCCCCGCTGGAAGCCTGACTTTCAACAGAATCCTTAAGGGGCAGCCGACACAGCTTGTTTACGGCTCTTCGGATGATTCCAGCAGTGGTCTTCAAATCAGCTACACGACTTACTCCATCCTTCCCAAAAATCAAGTTAATTACCCTACCAAGCGGCCACCGCATAGGAGGCAGATTTTCGTCTCTACCGAGCCCCATGTCGTTGATGCACAACGCTTGTGTTTGAGTGCACCAGTTAGCTTGCTGTTGTAGTAAGGTGAGGTACTCTTCATGCCATCGAGCCCAGAACACCTGTTGTCGCTGCGTCACACACTGCCAGCCATCCAAACGGTCGTAGTTTAATTTCGTCAACTTTGGCCTGATGATGGCTGTTGAAGGACCTCAAAGATGTGGATGACCAGGAGTCGGGACATCTAGATCTGCTAGGTTCTCTGGGTTCTGGAAAGCCAGAGTAATGGGCGTGAGTTAACAATAGCTGTGATTTGGCAAACAAGAGTACGAAGCTCTTCAAACGGTAACTAAAGAGCGGCCGACAGAACGATAGAAATGGTGCTTGGCCAACTTCACTGCCGCATCCACTCGATGTCATCGGCGAGGCAGAACGGCCGAACTGCTTCCATGTGGGAATAGCTAAGAAAGAGACGTTCCAAATCAACCAGCTCATTCTTCGATCCAACAAAGTTTGATGCATTGTCGGACCAAATCTGACTGGGTTTTCCACGCGTGGTGATGAATCGCTTAAGTGCACTCAAAAATGTAGCAGACGATAGGTCCTTGACTAGCTCTAGGTGCATTGCCTTGCTAGTGAATCAAATGAAGACTCTGACGTAGCACATGATGAGCGGCCTCGTAGAATCTTCCGACTTATAGAAGAAGGGTCCGCCAAAATCGCAAAAAAGACTTGCCATTACAGGCTCCACAAAAATAGGCCTCGATCTGAAGCACCTCACACATCTACTGACTTCTTTAGAGACTGTTCTCAATCCACCAATCAGCCAATATTTAAGTCGAATTTGGGCTAGAAGCGCACGGGGACCAGTGTGTAGATTCCCCTCATAAAACTGATCGATGACAGCTAAGGTGATTACATGACGCCGAGGCAGTATAATGGGATGTTGCGCATTATAGTCCAGGGACGAATTGCTAAGCCGTCCACCCACACGGAGGAAGTCACCTTCAGAGTCAAATCTGCATGTGGAGACTTAATGATTAGTACTTTTTCCCGCAATTCAATAGTTGGAGTTTCAGGCAGAAAGGACGCCGGCTAATTTAGCCACCATCTAATAGATACGATGGATCATAAATCCAGAGCTCCGATTGGGCTAGAACATCGGGAACTGTGCCTCTAGAAAGAATGTCAGCTGGATTTCTGTCCGTCGGAACATATCGCCACTCCATACCGGCAGTGAGTTCTTGTACGACAGCCACACGATTTGCACGAAAACGTTAAATTTTAAGGGCTTATCGCTTATCTAGGATAGGACAACGGACGAACCGCACCAGCAATAAAACTGGCTGACAAAGCTGCCTGTGTGCTTGACTTCATGCATCAGATTAGCCAACAGCTTTGCTCCACATAATTCCAGTTTTGGGACAGTCGATGTTTTTAATAGCGCAACTCGAGACTTGGAGCAAAGTTCCTCTGGCCTCCATGTAGATGCAGTCTCTATAGGCCTCCCCACTAGCATCACAAAATCCATGTATTTCAACATCAGCTCCTTCGAAGAGTACCACTCTGGGAAACGATACATGGAGAAAGTTGCGAAAACTGCTGCATTGCTCCCTCCAGGTCGTATCAGGTGCAGTCGGCAAGCTTTCATCCCAAGTTAATTTGTCCTTACAAAGCTGTTGAAGAAATAACTTTACCTAGGTTATGACTGGTCCCAAAAGTCCAAGGGGATCATAAAAACGGGCAACAATAGACAGAACTGTTCACCTGTAGGGTTTAATAGTAGTATCTAGAACAGAAAATAGCAACTGGTCGATTGCAGGATCCTATACAAGACCAAAGGCCATGGTGACTTCGCTTCCCTCATTGAACTTCAAG